CCACCTACCCGTAGTTCCGTACTTTGTTCCCTCTCTAAAGTCCGCCTTCATTCTCTTTTCCAAAAACGTTTTTGCCCCCACCTATCTCTTGGTGGGGTAAGTTTCTTCGCATAGGCCAAAGGCTCATGGAAAAAAAAAAGAAAAAAAGGCCAAAGGCCCATGGGTTTCTCAGTGTAGCTGGAGACATTTAGATTAGAAGTCCCGAGCCGCGTCAGACTCGGGGGGATCGATGATAGACCCTGAGGGGGGCAAGCGGTGGGTTGGGGGTAACCGGGGATTACAGCAGGGACAGGGGGGCTGGGTAGGAATCCGAAGGGTCGATAGATGGGTTCAGGTTGGGGGGTGGGGGTGAACAGGGTGTTATTAGGAAGTTGGTAGCAGGGGTGCCAGGGGGAAGGTCAGGAGTATGAAAGGGATAGCTTTGAGCTCTAAGCTAGTAGAATGAATTGTGGGAAATGTGATAAGCGAACACTGGGTAATGCTCCCGTATTTACCCGTCTTTATGTGGGGAGGCCGGTCCCCGTGAGCAGTTGCTATAACGTGAATCAATGTGTCTTTTCCTAAAAAAAAATAAAAAAAATAAACGATATTGCCTGCGCAGCGAGCCTATTTCTTGAAGCGTCCGACTCTCTCCGTAAATCCGTGCTCGATTCATTTACATGGAAAGTTGGAAACCCCGCCTTCGCTTTCTCAGAAGTCCAGTTTGAATTTGCGTTTCACAGAAATCCCGCCCATTTTCATCACCGCTTGAATCTACTACCGGTTTTGCGCTCAATTCGTTCTCGGCAACCCCGCCTTCACTTTTCCAAATTCTGAATCCTTTTCCACAACCCCGCTCTTTTCAGTACCCGGCCTCACCTAATATTTTTTGCGACTTGTTCCAGCTCCGTGGCCACTCTGTCCCTCGCCCACCCGGTCAGGATAACGTCCAGGTTCACACAGTATCTCGACCCACTCGTCCCAAGCCCCGTCTATGAGTCGGGAGAAGAGTTGCAGCCTTGAGTCAAAGAACTCATCTGGAAGCTTCCTTAACTCAATTTTTAGGGCCAGGAGCGTAGGCCCACCTTCCTGCATGAACAGGGTGTGGTTCCAAATCCGGTGTAGGCACCCGGATATCACAGCCTTTTTCACCTGATACGCCGAGTAAGACTCTCTCTCTCTCTCTTTTTTTCTTTTTTTTCCGCCAAGGCTGATATTACCAATAAGAAGATTGAGGCCGGGGTCCGCACACTCTACCCCGAGTAACCGAACCGAACATGCTGAGATCCGGGCTCAGCGTTCCTCATATGATGATGATGATGATGATGATGATGATGATGTTGCACTTCTGCTGATTCTATGAAAACCGTGAGATAATGATACTAGTGATGATGATGCTACTGATTTTTTATTTATTTTTTAATTTTAATCAGATTCTATGGTAAGATATAAACTACAATAGCAAAAACTGGCGTCACAATCTATGAGCAACTCCTAGTCTTCCCCCGTATACCAAACACAAACCGAGTAAGACTCAAGATCTTGCAGTCGCTGAAACACGGCATCACAATCTATGAGCAACTCCTAGTCTTCCCCCGTATACCAAACACAAGCCGAGTAAGACTCAAGATCTTGCAGTCCCTGAAACACGACCTTACCCCCCATAAGTAGCAGAGGCCTACTGGCCGTTACAGCCATGCACCTTACACAAACACAGTCCACACCTGAACTGTTCCTGTCTGGTCTGTTGAGGCGGCTACTTACCGTAGGTAATGACTGCTCCTCAATTCAAAATTTAATGCAACCCAACCACTGACTGGCCTTACGTGCCATTCTGGAGTAGTCTGCTCCAGCAGTGACTATCTAGAATCCTGTCAAAATTCCACCTCCCATTTCCTTCCTCCCTCATCCTGTGTACTATTAGTAAATGCATATGAGTGAGCATCATTAAGAGAACAGAAAATATAGGCTGGGGATCTGAGGAAAGAAAAATGAACAGGAATATACCTCCGCCTTTACTCTGCCTCCTTTCATAGTATGTAAGTGGGCCGTTGTGGCACACGGGAATGTGGGCAGCTCGCGCTCAACCACAATCAACATGGCGAGCCTTGTACATGAGAGGCACAGTAAAAGGGGACCCGCAAAAACAAATGAAAGGGGTATTGCGAAGAAAGTAAAAGTGAACTCGATTAAGAAAGGGATTTAAACGCTTCTATTATACTCCATGTTGCTTGCTACAGAGGTAAAACTGTTTCATTGTTGGATTGCCTCAACTCAAGGGCCTTCGTTGTCTGCAATAGGATTATAAAGCTGCTTCAATTTTGCATCTACTCGTATGGGCGGGATAGGGGCTTGTTGTGGTGAAAATTTAAAACACACACTGTGAAAATTGGATGCGGTGCTTCCATAGCCCACACCCGAACCGGTCCGGTCCGGTCTGTAGGGGTGGCCACTCGCCATAGTTTTTTTTTATTTTTTATTATTATTAAATTTATTATTATTATTATTATTATTATTTTCAGAAGTCTGCTTCAGCGGTGAATATTTAGAAATCTGTGAAACCCATCATACACCTTTCCCCTGCTCTTTGCATGTCATACTCTATCCTGCCCTCCCGTTGCCCCTACCTCCCCTGGCCCATACTCCTAGAGAACTACGCCTTCTACCCCTTACCCTCCACCCTCCCCTCCACTCCCCTTGTACTACTAACAAATACATACGAATGAGCATCATTAAGAGGATAGGCGATATGAAGATCAGAAATGAAATGAACGGAAGTATGAAGATGAAGG